TCCGTCTCCGTCTCACAAACCCGAACCAGGATGTACGTGTTATCCTCCACCTCCGTCTCCGTCTCACAAACCCGAACCAGGATGTACGTGTTATCATCCGGACTATCGGTTAGATGGGTGTATAGCACCAGCTGCAACTGCAAGAGAAAGTTGTGTATGCGGCTTTTTTTTGGGGGAACAATACAATTGGAGACCACATGTGTGTGCGACGCTGAAAGAGGGAGCCCAAGAAGGATTATGGACATGTTGCTATCCGGAGTTAAGTTGGATAGAGAAAGAGAATAGCGGGAACTCATCAGTAAACCATCGGGGACAAAAGATGGTGAATAACGGTCCACAGGACACAGTGGTAGTGATGGATTGTGTGTCAACATGTCTACAGCAGGAAAACGCGAGAAAAATGAGGAATCGTATGAGAAAAAAGTTATTTGCTGCTAAACTTCCAGGGACAATCTTGGGTACGGTGCTTGCAGCAAAGGTTTCTACCGAAGTTTTCATCAAGATTTCAACTGCAGTGTCGATATTCAGTTATAATTTGTTCTTCTGGATGGGTGCTCAATGTTACGACCTTGGTGAAATGGAAAATGATGCAGCTGATGAAAACAATTCTGGTGAAACGGAGGAGAAAGTTGAAAAGGGTGAAGAGAGAATTGATGGAAAGTGTGGAAAGCAAATTTCAGACTTAAAGAAAGCAGTAGAAGCGGTTCTAAAACTATTACCTTTATGGCTAACGTTCGCATCCACATGTTATCTGGTTAACGCAACAGCTGAGTCTTTCTTCATGGAACAAGTTGATTATCTAGAGAAGAATACTGAAAGCTTCAAGATTCCTAAATCCGTTTTCTTTTCCTTGCCGGATATTGTCTCCATCATAATCGGGCAGGTGAGCGATTATCTAGTCGAGCAGTTCCCGGATGAAAAGAAAGAAGCGCGGTGGGCTAGGCTCCTCAGAATCAGCATCGGTATGCTTTTTTCCTCTTTGTGTTGCATAGTAGCTTCTCTTGTTGCTTACAGATTAGATTCCAATTATAATTCCGCCAGCATGTTGTGGCTTCTGCCCCAGTTCCTCCTGTGGGGAATGATGAAAGGAATACTGGAAGAAGGGTTAGAAGAATTTCTCCGTCACCATCTAGACAATAATTACTTACAGGTAAAAACAGTCTGCGATATTGC